GTTAAACGAATAACTAATCAGTGCAAACTATGTTGTGAATGTAAGCCTAGATACTACAAACCACTAAAATCTAATTTGATAAAGGCGACACAACCACTGGAACGTTTGAACTTAGATTTTAAAGGACCTCTTCCTTCGGAAACTAATAACAAGTATTTTTTAACCATAATTGATGAGTATTCTCGTTTTCCTTTTGCAATCCCGTGCCCTGATATTTCAGCTCAGACTGTAATTAAGTGTTTGTCACAAGTATTCTCGATTTTTGGTTTGCCAAGTTACATCCATTCCGATAGAGGTTCAGCCTTCATCAGTAAAGAATTAAAACAATACTTACTAGAGAAAGGTATTGCGACAAGTCATACTACAGCATATAATCCACAAGGGAATGGACAAGCCGAAAAGTATAATGGAACTATAATGAAGTCTATTGAGATTGCTACTAGACAACACAATTTACCCATCAAAGCTTGGGAAAAAGTATTGCCAGACGTTCTCCATTCTATAAGATCCTTAGTAAATACTAAAACAATGGAGACACCTCATGAAAGAATGTTTAAGCACCTTCGTAAAACAGCCTCTGGATGCACTTTACCTTCATGGTTAAGTCATCCTGGACCAATACTAATGAAAAGACATTTACGTAATAATAAGTATGAACCACTGGTAGACGAAGTGCAACTCATAGATGCTAATCCTCAATATGCTTACATAAAGTATCCAGATGGAAGAGAAACCACAGTTTCCCTAAGATACTTAGCTCCAACAAGTTCTGCTCCGATCATTGATCAAACAAACGATATTGAACCTTCACCAGAGAATGCCTTTAATAATATTAAACCTTCACCAGAGAATGCTTTTAATAAACCTTCTTACCCCTATAAACCATTAACACCTGAGAAATATGGACTTACCAATACCAATCCTGAAAACTTTCCTAACCAGCCTCCCCTTTATCAACCTCCGCCAGCTGAAAATCTTGTCAATGATGCTTGTCCAATCAATCCATTGTTATTAATAACACCTGGAAAAGACACACGTAGATCCTCAAGAGCAATTCGTCGACCATTACGACTTATAGAAGAAGATACATGAAAAACCTTGTTTGTATTATAGAGTATTCTGTTTGTATTATGGCTGCAGAGAATGTTGTGTTTTGATTATTTTAGATTATGTTTTTATGTTTTGATTATTATGATTATTTTAGAGTAGAAAAACTTAAGAATTAAAATATTGTAGTTCTTTATACAAGTGCTTCACGGTGCTTAGCTTATATCCGATACACTACGGATCATTACAATTAAGGGTGTTAAAAATATATTTATATAGCAATTTTATTGTGACACGTGATATTTCTCAACCAATAAAAAAAAACTTTCGGTAGGATAATTTTTATTTTTCCGCTACCGACTTTCGGTAGGCTATCCACTGCGATATATATATATCATATATCATATATAATATTAAATATAATATATATATATATATATATATATATATATATATATATATATATATATGTATATATATATATATATATCATATATCAGTATATATATTTATATCATATATCAGTATATATATTTATATCATATATCAGTATATATATTTATATCATATATCAGTATAGTATATATATCAGTATAGTATATATATATATATATATATATATATATATATATATATATATATATATATATATATATATATATATATATATATGTATGTATTATATATATATATATATATATATATATATATATATATATATATATATCAGTATATCATTATATATTATATAATGATATACTACACCTTTTCAAGATGTAATTGAGAACTTCAAAGTTGTAATTAAGAAACGTAAGATGTAATTTAGTACATGGAAGATGTAGTTAAGAAATGTAAGATGTAGTTTAAAAGATGAAAGTTGTAATTGAGAAATGTAAGATGTAATTTAGAGCATGAAAGTTGTAAATAAGAAATTGTAAGATGTAATTGAGCAGATAAAAGTTGTAATTGAGAAAAGTTTATAATATAGATTACCAGAAAGAAATTCTTTGTATTATTAATTTTTTTGCCTTAGTTTACCTTGTAATTTTAGGTCGGATCCTAATTTGGCCAAGATTTCCATATAGGTTAGTTTTTAATAAGTAATAATATATTATCAATAAAATAAAAAGTGATGAAAAAAACATTTGTGGTTTTTGCAGTAACTACACCTCTTCCAATAAAATTTAAATTTCTGCTGCAGATCCAATTATATGCTGTCTTATATTTGAAACCTAAAGTTTTTGCCAGAGTCAACAATTGTCATTTTGCTCAGCACATTCAATAACTCTTTTTCTATCATTCGATGAAGAAAAAACATGTTTTCTTTCAACTTGTTCAGTTGTATGTATTTTTTAATGTCTACAAATTGGACAAGGTGGTTCTGGTTGTTTCAGAAGTGGATGTAAACAAATTTAGTAAAATAAATGCTTGCACAGATTTAATTTAAAAACAGAATTTCTGTTAATAGTGTATTGACAAGTAACCCAACAACCTTTCAATTCCATTACTGTATTACTGTATTGCTGGTGCATACAAATGCTAAATTTAATATTGTTAACTTATTAAAATGCATGTCCAAGAAGATCTTTTATAATGAACTTTAAGTTTACATTATGAATTCGCAATTACAAATAATGTATTCTCATTTACATTGTATGATTTCTTAATTACAACTTTTGTTTTTCCAATTACTTATTGCGATTTCTTATTTACATGTTGGGTTTCTCAATTAGATTTTAAAATTTCCTAATTACATGTTGTGTTTCTTAATTGCATATTGCAACTTCTAAATTACATGTTGTATTTCTCAATTACATCTTACTTTTCTTAATTACAACTTTCAGTTTTTCAATTCAATTACATTTTGAAAAGGTGTATATCATTATATATGTAATGATATGTATCTATATTAAATAGAGGTTAGATAACTTGTATATTATGAAATATGTATTATCAATACTTTCTAAAATTTCTGAATGTTTTTAGATCACACTATAAAATATAATAAAATTCAATGTATATATATTTAAATATAAAATATAATGTATGAAAGTTTTTAGATTAGTTTGTTAAGTTATAGTTGATCTGTTTATATATATTTTTCAAGATATCTAAAATAAAAAGAAAATATAATAAATTAAGAGTTGAAGTAGATCTAAGTATGTCCTTGTGATCATTAATCTGCAAGTTGTTGGTCATAATTCTACAAGTAAATATCTTTAGAAAGTTATGCCATAAAACCTTTTCAGTCAATGGAAGTGAAGCTGGACAAGTAAAAAATCATTCAGTTAGTAAACTTTATATGTCAAGTTTAAAAAATAAAAACAAAAATCAGAAATTAATAAAGACAAAGGTAATTGAAAAAATATATAAACTGAAAGGTATTTGAAAAAACTGAAAAGGTATTTGAAAAATTGAATTAAATGCCCCAAAGATTAATAACATTCTTGAGGAAGATATTTTAAAAACCAAAGTTATTATTTGTTTCAAGTGTGTTAGTCTATCTGGAGATGGAAAAATGATAGAAGCAATTATCGCAGATTTAAAAGTTGCCAAAAAATACAAATAGGGAAAAAAAGCTTAAGTAATACTGTTTTTTGTCATTTAAGTTTGATGAATATACTACTAAACAAGTTGAATAGTATGATGGCTATGAACAATTAGTCTAAAGAACACGAGTTGATAAAAATTGTATACACTAGAACTGTCATAGTAGACCATTGTACCACTGAAAATATGTTAGAACTTTTCTTTGAGTTGTAAAGAAAGCTAAATATAAAGTTTATGCCCCATATTGGTCGGACAGTCCTAATGTAATTGTTAAGTTTAAGAGACTTTTAAAATTATCAGAAAAAAGAAAAAGTTTGAATACATTTCATCAATAGGCATTTGTCCTCTTCATGCTGTTTATAATTTGTTTAGAGCATGAGTTAATGTTATAAATTCCATAATTGATTCATTTGCAGTTGATGTTATTTTTTTTTAACCTTCTTGTCTTGAGTCTTATCAATCATATACAAACTCTTTAAAATCAAAATTACATTATGAATTATTTATTTAAAAAAAATCTTTCTTGATCATTCAAAAGGGAATTAATCAGTTTCTAAGAACTACGTTAAATCTCCATATAGAAGTATGTAAATCATTGGAAATAGATAATCCTGCTCATTAAAGGATGAAGTTTATGATAATACATTTAACGAATGGAGAGTTAACAATATGGAGTTATTTCCAGAGTATAATTACAAATGATTTGAAAGTTTAGTTTTAATTGAGAGATACCAAACTTTTTACTTGGAGAAAGCCTTTCAGCTTTCTGGCCTTCTGATAGTTTCTAAACCTTTTTGTTGTATTGTAGTATTTGTATTTCCTTTGAGACTAAAATTTCAAATGAAAGTGGCTCACTTAAGTACCTTAGTTGTACATCCCTTTTCTTTACTTTCCTATATTAAAGAAAAAGGATGTAAATAAAGGATTTTCCTAATAGTGCCCCAGAGAATGGTTTTTATTTGAAAAATAAATTATTTACGTTTGCAGTACTTCACTTGATCCAGATATAATTGAGGCTCCAAGATTTTAAAGGATACCTTATTAAGCTTTTATATTTGATATTTATTTTTTATTTAAGTATTTTTTGAGTAAGAACTTTTTACATATTTATAATGTTTAATTTAGGTTTTCTTTGTTATCTACTATTCTGGGTAAATAATTCTTAAACTTATATTTAAAAATTTAGATCTTGGAACTTATTCTTAATTTTAGATTGTCCTATGATGTTTTAAATTTCACTCTAGTTTGTCTAGTTTTAATCTTATTTTAGGAGTATTATGTTAAATGTTCCTGAATTATTTTGATGTTATATGTTTCCAGATTATTTTTTACAAGTGATTTTTTCTGGCAACCATATATAAAAGTTTGAGCTTAACCACTGCACTGGTTAAACAAATAGGTTATTAACAAATAAATTATTATTAGTTAAAAATAGTATTAAAATAATATAATTTTTGATAAAGCATACAGTTAGCTGATGTTAAAAAGATTCTATTGTATGCGATGTGAGATCATGCCATTTTATGCTGTTAGAGTTGGAAGGAAACCTGGCATTTATGAAACATGGTACTCATGAATTATTTATATTTTTTTCTTTATAATAATTATATATATGGATCAAATAAACCACCTAACTTGATTTTAATTAGGCTGGGTGTTGTTGAAATAAAGCTAGGGTTTGTAGCTGTGGTTAATTAGATGTAATGAATCATAGTTTTTAGAATTATTGAGAAAGTTTATTTATGATAATCATCGTGATTACAATGATGATTTACATCATCATTATTATGATTTTATTTTTTATTTATGTTTCTTCATGCTTGCATTGGGCTTGGGTTGAGCTGTTTTTTTTTTTTTTATTATTATTTATCACAAGATTTCTATAGACAAATTTTAATATATTCTTTTCATTTGTAATTACAAATGATTAAAAAACTTTTTTAATAAAAATCTTTTCTGTATTCACTTATAAAGCAGTTATAAAGCACTTATAAAGAGGTTACTAGCCCCAGCTAGTAACCTCTTATTTTTACTATTAAACTGTTTTAAAAATTTTATTTTTTGAATATTCGTAAATAATTTCAATATTATTTTGTTTTGTTTTTGATTTAAATATACAAAATAAAGTTCTTAATTAATAGTTTTTAATTTATTTGTGTTGTGCCTTTCTTCTACCATAAAAGGGTTTGTTTGTTAACTTAAATAGGTGATTTTTTTTATTTATTTATTGTTGTTAAGACTTTAATAAAGCATTTTTGGCAAGAAGTGCACATAGTCAAAATTAGTCAGGTAACTCAACAAATATTTGGAAAAATGTTACTATTTTTATGTTGATAGATAATGAGACAATCCACTTTTTAGGAGTTATAATCATTAGAGAAGACAATAATCTTTACCAATTTGGGTTGTGTGTCTAGAAACAATTAAATGAAACTAATGTTTGTTGTAGAATAGATGCTGCATTCTGCAGTGAAGTACAATGTGAATCTAAATGTGAATGTAATTGCAGGTGACAGGAAAAAGGCTAATAAGTGTTAATGTTTAAAGGCAAAATTGATTTGTTAGTTACTTATAGTAGTAAAAGCAGTTTACAACTGCATTGGTTAAATACTGCTCAATTGTTCTTATATATCTTATAATGGTTATAATTATTATTACTATTATTATTATTATTATTATTATTATTATTATTACTATTATATATATATATATATATATATATATATATATATATATATATATATATATATATATATATATATATATATATATATATTTATATAAAAAGTTCTCATTAGGCATAGTTCATGCCTATGCCAAATTAGAATGCTTTGCAAAAAATCTCAATGATAAAGGTCTGGGAACAAAAATATCCCAAAACATTGTCTAAATGTGAGTAAAATTTTCAACTTCTGTAATTATATTTTATAATTGTTAACGATCGATGTAAAGAATATGATTGTATATAAAAGAATATGATTGTATATAAATTATGTTGAATTGCATTTGATAATATAATGCGTTTAATGCTTAACTTATAAAGTCAATTTTGATGTGAAACTACAACTTCATTATCTTATACTAAATTTAAACTCATCAACAGGTTTTAAATTTCAATTAAAAATATTTTCAATTTAAAAAGGTATGACCATGCAAAATTTACAATCCTCTCATTTTAAGGAGGTCCAAAATTTTGCATAGTTATAACTTTTGTAAATTACAATATTTTTGAATGAAATTAAAAATCTGTTTATAAATTTGAATTTATTATACAAACACTTATTTATGTACATATACTTATGTATTATACTTTTTTTATACCATTCTGTGTTTTTTTTATTTTTTTGTGCTACTTTAAATTTTTCAACTTTTTAAAATTTATATATATATTTTTTAATGGGATATAGGAAAGAATGTCAGTTACAAGTTGAAGGATATCCTGATGCTAGATACAAAAAATTTAAATGTAGTGAAGAGGCAAACAATTTTTTATCTCAGGTATATTTAATGTTTTTTTTTATCTCTTTTATATTTGATGTTTTTTATCTCAGTTGTATTTAATGTTTTAAGTAATTTCAGTTATTAATCAAAATTAATCATTTGAATCAACATTTGTTGAACCATGCTATAATATCATCTTTTTAAAGACAAAAGTATATTTTCATCTAATGCAAACATTTTTAAGTGCTTATTCTTCTTTATAATTGTTATGTATGTATTTTTATTATTATGACATAATTTCTACCAAAGAAAACAAATATAAAATTATCTTTAATGACTAAATATGTTTTAGAATGATTCGCGCACATCTATAGTTAATATTCTTGGTGTAAAGAAAACAACCTCATTCAAAATAAAAGGTATGAGATAAATGAGATTCAAATATTTTCAATGGTTTATATTTAGACATTTTGTTTTTAAAACTTTTAGAGTTGATTAAACTTTGTCTTTGTTCTTATAAAAATTAGTTCAAACTAATTATTGATATATTTACAGTGTTATTAATAGAGTTTGTTTTTATTGGTGTTTCAATAGTTGTGTTTGAAGTTTACTTCAAAAGTTGGGTTAGAAGTTTACTTCAAGGCAATATCTATGACAGCCAATACAATGATTGTCTAAAAATTTTGTTGTAATTTGCTTTTCTTGTTTAATATTATTTGTAAGTCAATAGTCAATCAGTTAAAAGTTGAATTTATATTTTTGACTGATGTAGACTCCACTACCAATTCCTGTAAACTATTCCATTCAAAGACAACCCTGTTTGTAAAGAAGTGTTTTCTACTTTTTAAACAATTTTTAACAAACTCCGATTTAACACAATGTTTGTAACCTTTAATATTGGATGCTGGACCTGGTGTATTGATTAAATGCATTTGTATGTGGGCTTTCTTCATATCAATGGATTCAAAACTTTTATATAATTTATTTTGTTGTTTAAGGTCACCTCTTAGTCTTCGAACTTCCAAAGTTATTAAATCTATTATTTTTAGTCTTTAATTATATCCCAAATGTCTTAATTATGGTATCTATTTAGTTGCTCTTCTTTGAACTTTTTTGAGTTCTTTAATGTCTTTTTTATAATAGGGATTCCAAGCTTGAATCACAAATTCCAAATGAGGCACGGTTTGAAAATTTTTACTTTTTTGCTGACTAAGTATCCCAAAATTGCCCTTTTGAGGGTTGATTCTATATATATTGGGGACTCAAAAACAATAAATTTTAAAATACTGGATTAAAATCTAAGGGAGATATTTAGCTTCGAAATTACCAAATTTTCTCACTTACTCAAATACTTTGTTTTGGAATTGTAAAGTCTAAATTAGCTCAAATAATTTTAATATATATTTTATTATATTGCTATAAAAAAATTAATAGATAACAATAAAAAAAATACACAATATGTAAAATTATTTTTCTCAACATTTCTAGATTTAATTATCATAAATACTTTTGTTGAACCCTTTTGTGCTTCTTAGAATTTTTTGCTATTGTAATCAACAACGCAATTCAACAGCTGTTTGGAATAATCTGGCTGAGACATAATTCTTTTGAATCTTTGCCAATGAGGCTTGAAGTTTGAATGGAGTGCCTCTGTTGCTTCCTCACTGTAAATTCCAAGACCAGTTTTATGGTGCTTTAAAAATTGTGGAACATGGTAAAAGACAGCATGAACTTTTAGTGTGAAAGAAACTTTAGATAATTGCTCTTAAACTCTTGAATCTTTTTCTCAAAGTCTGGAGAGAGTGAATATCCAAAACAAAAATTAACAACCTGGAGAAACAAATGTAGAACATGGCAGATGGATCATGCTTCAAATGCCTTATCAGCCACGGTTATCTACTTCAGAGTGTCAATTTTATTCAGCAATTTCATTCAGTTATTGCCATTGAAGTGACCACCAGGGTACGGCTGTAATGGTATATGTATTGAAGTCAACCATTCTTTTGTTTTTGGCAAAACTTGAATCAAGTGCTTAATAAGATTGTTAACAATGCCAAGAATCAAATGAAGTTTCATTGGAGGAATAGCTTCTAAGATTAGCTTTTCATCTGGGAATCAAAGTATTGGTGGATGAACAGCATTCTCGAATTCTTTTGATTTCTTTAGATCAGCACCAGATAAAATAAACTTTTGATGTTGCTCTCTGATTGTTCCAAATGTTCTGAGTTGGCCACAGTTGTTCTAATTTATCGACTCAATGTTGTACCAGCAGCAAGGATGCTCGCTACTGTAAGACTGAATTCCACAGAAAATATTTGCAAGCTTCATGACAAATGGCAGAATCAATTTGTCAATTAATTCATTAATTTGCATGAGGTCCAAAATTAGTTTGATATTGCCAAATGTTTCAGGAGTGCTTTTAGAGATTGGTACAATTAGTTGCTTTTTGACACCTGTGCTTTTAAAATTTTCACTTAAAGCCAACTTAATTGACTTTTTTACTGGACTTGTTCTATTTGGTGTTTAGAGATTAGACTCAAACTAGCTTTGAAAAAGGACCCTCCACCATCAAGGCCCAGTTTCACAGTGTCCGAGGTCATCAAATCTTTTGAGACTGTCATGTTTTCTTTCAGGGTTTTTAAATTGATACAATGAACAATGTCATGAGCTTCATTAGAATATGGCAATTTTACATTGGTAGCAATGAAAAAATCCTTTTGACTAAATCCTGCTGATGCAAATTTCTTTTTAAAATTTGGCTCAAGAAGGCAAACTGGACTAATTTGGTTTAAAAAAGATCCAAGCTTTCTGATTTTATTGTTTAAAAGCCCAGTACTCTGCTGAATATCAACCATATTTTTTGTTGTGAAAGGGCCTTAAAAGAGTGAATGAGCTGCAGATGTTCCTTAAGAATGAAAACTAAATCAGTTACTTCACATATAAATTGTATTGCTCAGGATGTACAGAATAATAAAATAACTAATCCAGGCTTGGTCGGGAAGTGGGAGCGATCGCTCTCGATTGCTGACCACGTAAATAATATTTAGTTGCGATAAGCTGGCCAGACTTTTTAGTCGTTTTGAGAATGTTTTAAAAAACAAAAAAAAAAGCGCTAAGATAAATTGGACCGATGAGAAACAATTACAAAAAAAAAAAAAAAAAAAAATCAGGCAAATAAAATATCTTTAAACGCAAAAAAACTTAAAGCTAAATAAATTACGTTTAGAACAAATATTTTTGAAAAATCGCTCTTTTATATTTTTTTTCAAAAAATTAAGCGATGTTTTTAACATAAAGTAACATCTTACAATTGTTTAAAATGGAAACAAATATTCTTTATTTAACAAAGTTTGCAAGTTTTAGTTTTATTTAAGCTGAATTATTTTATAAATAAAAAAAGTTAATTTTTTTAATACCTATTTTATATTTCGCGTATTTTGAAAAGTTTAACATATTTGAAGCAATTCTTCTTAGTAAGATAAACAAATGAAATAATTAAATAATTGAATTACTACAGAAATTAAATTAACAAGATAGAAATCAACTTAAAAGGTTAAAAATACTTTATGAAGAGGAAGCGAAACTGCTTCACAATATCGCTGATGATGTTTAGTGAGTGGGCTTTTTAATTTTAATTAGTATTTAAAGCAGAAAAAAGTATAACAAGTTTTAAGAATGGCAACTTAAGCGAAAATAATTAGAGTTAGTAAACCAATATCTAGAAACATTTCTTTATATCTAGTTATTTGCTATATATATTTGTGTTCTGTCGTGACCTCAGGCGCGGTGCTTGTTTATCCGCAAGTTACTTTGTATGCGTTGTTTGTGTTTAGTAACCAGAAACTTCTTATATGTTTGTTACATAATTAGTTTTATTAACTTTAATGATTATAACTTCATTAAAAACGCAATTATTTTTGTAAGTCTTTGCTTAAATCATAGAAATTGCTTTAAAAGATACATTACGATAAAAAACAGATACACAAAATTACATTTACATAAAGAATACATACTTTTTAAATAAAAAATAAGAATATACTAATAAAATCTATAATTTATAATTAACTTTTAAAATTTTGACAATTTAATTGATATATATTTAAAACATTTATTTTTGTAAACAAATAATATTAATTCTTAAAACAATTTACGCTAGAAATCTCAAAACGTAACAAATCCTGAATAATACAATTTCTAAAACATTTCAACAGAATACTCTAGAACTTTATTTCATATTTTTTGAACCAATAGAATTAGTTTGTTCGTTAAATTGTTAGGTTTTTAGTGTTCGCGAATATTCTTTTTCTTCTTTCGTACCAAGATGTTTTAAGAAAATTAAAGTTTTTTATGTTTCCATGTATGTCCGTTAAACAACAATTTTTTGTTTCATACATAAACTTAAATGTTCTCAAAACGACTAAAAAATCTGGCCAGTTTTTCGCAACTAAATATAATTTCCGTATTCAGTATTCGAGAGCGCTCCTGCTTCCCGACCAAGCCTGAAAATCTTTTTTTATCGGAAGAGGTTTGCCATTAGCTTGACCAAGACAAATTGTTCTGCCCGGAGATGTTTCTTTCGATGCAATGACAGATGAAGCAACTTGTTCTCTGCCCACAGCATCTTCAAATTCAAATTGATATAAGTTTGTACGGCAAGTTGTATCACTGTAATTGTAAGAAATTCCATGAGCAATTATAGACAAGCATTTTGTGCATTGTTTTTCAACTGACTTTCTTTCTTCTTGCAAAGATTTTGATACAAGGCCTTTTCAAATGGATGCTTTTCTTTGCCTTTCACCTTCGCAATTTGACAAATAATGCAATGTTATAATGTTGTAAGTCTTGTTAATGGGTTCACAACAATGGAATCAAAACTGTAGAGTTGTATTGCCTTTAAGGCATTAGCTCCATAACCCAATTTTTCAGGTTGCAACGAAATGTAAACATGTAAATACATGTTTCTCGTATCTTGATTATCATAAGTTTAGTGCTACATCTTTTTATTTCATTTATGTGCTAATTCTTTGTGCTGAATTTGTCTCCAAGGAAATCTATTTTTGCTAACAAATATTTGTAAAGTATCAAACAAACAAAAAAAAAATGCAAAGCTAAATATCTTCCTTGGATTTTAATCCAGGATTTTAAAATTTCTTGTTTCAGAGTCCCTAATATATATAAAGAATCAACCCACAAAAGGGCAATTTTGGGATATTTAGTTGGCAAAAAAGTTAAAATTTTCAAATCGTGGAGGTCTAACGTAATAGCATAATAAAGCATTTTCATAAGGTTTTATCTTTATTTATCTATATACCTAAAGGTATTATTTAATATCGCAAGCATTGTTTGCTTTACTGGAAGTATTCCTTACTTGTCTTTCCCATTTCAATTCCTTGAATATATAAATACCTAAATCTTTTTT